ATCTTTGCCTGTCACAAAATTAAGATTAAGAAGCATCACCAATAAACACAGTTCCAGCTGACAAACTATCTACAACATAAAGATACAAGACTTTAAAGCTGGATGCAGGGGCCGGGGAGATGGCTCAGTGGGAGGGGGGGACCTGGATGAAGTGGAGCATACATATAATCCCAGCACCCTGACAGGACAGTATGAAAATTCAAGCCCATCCCAGCATTCAGGAAGCTGAGGCAGGAGGATTGTTGCCAGTTCAAGATCAGTCTGGGCAACAAAGTAAGCTCAAAGCTAGCCTAGAGCTGTATAGGGAGACTGTCTAAGAAGCAAGGCAGGCAGGAAGGAAGGAAGGAAGGAAGGAAGGAAGCATAAATTCAAGCCCAGACTTGGCTGGTAAAGCCTGGGTTCAATTCAACCCCAGTATTAGCAAAAAGAAAGAAAAAAACAAAAAAAAAAAAAAAACAAAGTGATTAAGACTGTTTCAGGGCACAGGCCTGTGACTGATGTGAGTTTAAGACCTTCCTTGGGCTACAAAGTGAGTTCAAGGCCAACTTAAACTGCACACCAAAACCCTGTCTCAAAAAGGTGAGCAGGCCAACCAAATAAATAGCTCCGCAGGTTAAAGAGCCTACAAGTAAGCAAAGGAGCCGGGGTTCCATCCCTGGGCCTGCCCTGTTGGCCCCGCCCTGGGGCCCACTGAGAGAGCAATTGTCTCAACTGAGACTAGACAGTAGTGGTGCATGCCTGTAACCCTAGCTCTTGGGAGACTGTAAACAGGCGGATCACTAGGAGTCTGATCTAGTAGTGAGACCCGGAACATCCTGTAGACCCTTCCCTAAAATACCAAAAAAAAAAAAGGTGAGCAAAGCTAGATGTGGTGGCACATGCCTGTAATTACAGCACTCTGGAAGGCTGACACAGGAGGTTCATTGTGAATTGATAACAGCCTGAGCTACAAAGTAAGTTCAAGGCCAGCCTAAACTGCATAATGAGACCCTGCCTCAAAAGGACCAAATAAAAGGGGCTGGGATTTGGCTCAGCAGTAGATCACTTGCCTAGCAAGCTCAAAGCCCTGGGTTTGATCATTGGAACCAAAAACAAAAAATAATCCTCCCCTAAAAAAAGACTGAAAAAAAAAAAAAAGACTTTACAGCTCATCCTGGTGGCCTATGCCTGTAATCGCTGCAGTTACACAGCTGAGGCAGTAAGACTGGTGAATTTAAGGCCAGCCTGGGCTACACAGGAAGGAGTTCAGGACTAACATAAACTTGATGGTTAAGACTTTATCTAAAAAGAAAAAAAGGATACATATTGGGCATGGTTGCACACAACTATAATCCTATCTTTTTTGGGAAACTAGAGACTGACTGAAGGGTCAACCAAGCCAACTTGTCTAGCTCCTATCTTAAAATATGAAAAGACAGACAGACTTGACTGACTGACTGCTTGCCTAACATTCACAAGGTCCTGGTTCAATCCCTGATATGGAAAAAGACTGGGCCAAAGTGGAGAAATTTAATTTAAAACAAAATTCTAAATCTGGATCCAAATGCTAGCCAAGGGGCTGGGGAGATGGCTCAGTGGAATAAGCGCTTCCCTGGCAAGTGCAAGGGCCTGAGTTCAATCCCCGGTTCTGCCAAAAAAAACCCCAAAAAACAAAAAAAAGACATCTCCTTATATACTTCAGGCTGAACTTCCTATGTAGCCCAGGCTGGGATTGAATTTATGACAATCCTCCTGCTTCAGGTTCCCAGAGTGCTGGGATTACAGGTGGTATGGGCCACTATGTCCAGCATTTTACATTGGTTTTAACTTAAATACTTTTTTTTTAATATTTATTTATTTTTATTTATTACATTTATTTATTGTGTGTGTGTGTGGCCAGCTCAGCCCACCAGGGGGCGGGTCTGGCTGGCATGTGGTGCTGGGGATCGAACCGCTGTCCCTGTGCTCTGCCAAGCCTGTTTCAAGTAGGTGCTTTAGACCACTGAGCCATCTCTCCAGCCCATTAAATACTTTTTATAGCTCTGTCCCTGAGGGTGAGATTTAAAGCATGTAGCCTCCAGTTACAACATGCAAAAGCATACTAAAAAAAATATTCCTTACAAAAAGATTTGACTAAATCAATGTTGGTGGGGGCTGGAGAGATGGCTCAGTGGTCTAAAGCACCTACTTGGAACAAGCTTGGCAAAGCACAGGGACCGCGGTTCAATCCCCCAGCACCACATGCCAGCCAGCCGCGCCCCCTGGTGGGCTGAGCTGGCCACACACACACACACACACACACACACACACAATAAATAAATGTTAAAAAAAATTAAAAAAAAATAAATCAATGTTGGTTTTTTGTTTTTGGTCTTTTCAATAGAGGGTCTTGCTGTGCAGTTCAAGCTGGCCTTGAGTGCATTTTGTAGCCCAGGCTGGTTTCAAACTTGCAAGTGTCCTCCTGCCTCAGTCTCCAGAGTGCTACAATTATAGGAGTGCACCACCACTTCCTGCTTTAAATCAACTTTTAAAAGATCACACTTGTAAATTTTAGTTATCTTCCCTAAGAAAAAGTATTTCACTTTTTCTATGAATCATGGCCACAATTTGAAATTACCTATTATTTGTTATATAAAGATTTCCTGCACTTACAAAAGTTATCATTTGGAGATCAACTATCTGCTTATAATCTTAATACTACCTACCACCTATTTCAATATACCTTTAAGGATTTAAAAAATCATGTTGCAGACAGGAAGAGGCTACATCTTCAATAATTTTCAGTGAATTAGCATGTTTCAAAAAAAAAAAAAAAAAAGCTGCTAAAAAAAGGGGTCGGGGTGATGGGTCAGTGGAATAAGAGCTTCCCTGGCAAGCGCAAGGGCCTGAGTTCAATCCCAGTTCCACCAAAAAAAAAAAAGTAGTATAAGTTTCCTTCTAAGAAGCCTATATACTAGTAATTGTCATAAATTAGATCAATAAAAAGATAACTTTTGAATACTTAATTAACTGGCTTGGTGGTTCAAACCCATAATCATGGCACTGGGAAGTTGGGGAGGTGGGGAGGTGGAGAGGAGGACGGAAAATTTGAGGACTACAGTTGAGTTACACAGCAAGTTCACGGCCAGCTAGGCTTAAATAGCACAACTCTGTCTCAGAACAAAAACTTCAGATAATGAGATTCATTAACATAAATCATTTCTAGTCTAGCCATTTCCATTTGTATTGTGGCATGAAACACATCATACTAAAAAAAACAGCTACTTGGTTTATAACTTGTTTTGATCATTGACAGTATACAAAAAAAGGCCCCTCATTTTTTTTTATTGTTTCAGCTCATATTGAGCAAGCTTTTGTTACTAGTTACATAACCATCATGATAAACAGATATGCTTAAGAAAGCAATAAACTTTATTTTAGCACGCCACTATTACAGATAAAGCATAAATTAAAAAAACAAGTCAATCCCAGCATTCAGGGGGCTGAAGTAGTAGAGCTGTCTTAGAGATCAGCCTGGGATACACAGTGAGTTCAAACCAAGAGGCTGAATTACAGAGCAAGATCCTGTCTCAAGAACAAAACAAAAACCGGGTGTGGTGGCCACACCTGTAATCCCAGCACTGGGGAGGCTGAAACAGGTGGATTGAGCTGAGTAGTGAAATCCTGTACCAAATACATAAAAACAAAACAAAATAAAACCCAGAAAACAAAATAATTATAAAAATTTTAAATAGTGATAAAATGTTAAAACATATACGGATAAAAAAGTCTGCCCAATATTTATTCAATAATCTAAGGTAAATAGCAAAATAATAATGAGCTACTTGCAGCAGCAAAACACTGTCCCTACTCAGTCTTCTGTATCTGAGCCTCTCTTTTAATTTCTCTTTTGCCAAATGTCATTTCAGTAATTTCAGTGACATTCTGGACTTTTACAGTACCAAACCACCATAAATTAACCTATGGACCAGACTACATAAGGGCAACAGAAAGTCCTGTTAAAATAACACCAAATGACACGTACTATAGTACTTTCCACCATTAAATTATACCATATGAAAACCCTAAAGCCACCCATTTATTGACTGTCTACACTCTTCATCCCCAACTTAACACTGCAGCTCCGAATTTAAACTTTCCCTAAACATGTCCTATCTTAACCTCCGATGAGTATTTTCCTGGTAAACAGAAAAAGACTAAATTCAAGATCCTTAGGGAAGATTTCCACACCTGCTCCCAACTGTTTCCTGAATGCGTTGTCACATCAGCTTACAATTTCATTTTTCAAATGGAGATGAACAAACACCTCCAGATACACACTGAGCCGAGAGTGATCCCAGGTCAGCTTGATTCTACGCCAGAAAGGCCAGGTAACATTTACTCGTCTGCTTGGGTAAGTTTCTCTCTCTTATCCCCTCAATGAATCTTCCGGCTCATTATTGTACTACGATACTCTATTCCATCAGTAGCTAACAATACTTCTCTTCCCAAAGGATCCCCTTCCCCACTTAAGACCACTCTTTGCCCCGCGGTCACGGTCTCAATTCCAGGACTGTAAACCGTCGGCGCGGAGGAAAAAAAGTTCGTAAGAGACAGACCGGTGGGAGTTTCTCAACTCTCTCAAACCTTCGTCCCAGCCTCGAAGCACGCAGACTTCGGAGGGTTCCTAAAAACAATGAGCTGCAAAAACTCGGAGTAAACGGGAACGAAGAGGAAGTACCAGAACAATACCCAAACCTAGCGCAACGAGGACGGCGGCCGTCTCTACCGTCCAGGCTCCCACCCCCCGGCTCGGGGGAAACCGAGGTCTCCGACTAGGAAATAGCCCGGGCCCCCGGCTTCCCCGGCTTCCCCGCTAGACACGCGAGATGCTCCGGCGGCGGCCGAGGACTGCGCGGAGAATGGCGAGCCGGGCGGTCGGGGGAGGGGACCAGGGCGCCCGCGCTAATCCCCCCGGTGGCAAAGGGACGGACGCCCGGGGACGGGTGGACTACCGAGCCGCGGCCCCCTCAGGCTCACACCTCAAACCTGCTCTTGGTCACTCCGTTCACGTCCCTCCTCATGAGGCCGGCGGGTGCGGCCCGGGCAGGGCGCTGCGGCGTGCGGAGTGCAAAGCGCAGCGGCCCTGGGCAGGCCCGCGAGTTCCGGGACCCGGAGGCGGCGGCTGCGGCGGAGCAGGAACGAGGATGGGACAGTCGCGCGGGGAGGAGCGACCTCTAGGCTCTGACAGGACCTCCTCCACTACCTCCCTCGGCGCCCGCGGCCGCGACGACCGCTTGTCGCTAGCTGGGCTCCCTCCTCAGCCTCAACTTCAACCCAAAACAAAAACACTCCCCACCTGCCAGCAACGCCGCTCGTGATTGGACAGAGCGCCCCCAACGCGCGGGGGGGCGGGGGAGCGTGCGCCGGAGGGGCCGCCCCTCCCCCAGCGCGGCCGGACGGCGCCCGCGAGCGGCGGGAGCAGGAGATCGGCTGTGGCCGGAGCCCTCCCGCCCCGAGTCCGCCGCCCCCCGGGAGAAGGCGCGCTGGGAAGCGCCGAGCCTGTAGATGTGGGGCGGGGCGAGCCTGCGACTTCGCGGACGCCCGCGAGAGCCGGGCAGGAGCACTGCCCGAGCCGCCCTCGTCGCGGCCCACGCGCGCACGGCCCACGCGGAGCCGCCCCCGCCTCGCTGGGGCCCCCGGCCCGTCCTTCCTCCCCTGCCCGCAGGCTGGGTCTTGCACCCTCCGACAACCAGCCCCTTCGCCTGTCACTCACGGTCGCCTTAAACCCGAAGTGCAGCAGGCGATCCCTGCTCGGAGCCATTTTCCTCCTCTTTCTGGACGTCTCGGGATGGGGGCAGCGCTGCCACTGATGTCGCCGCCGTACCAGTGGATTACATTAAGGGGCACTGCAGGGAGACCTGGGGGCCCGCCGCGGGGCGAGCGTCCCTCTGTGCATGGCCTACGGCGCTGACGGTGGTCCTAGCGCACAGCTCTGCTCCGGGGGTAGCAGGCGGGCCGCACCTCCGGCGCCGGGTCAGGGGTGCCGCGCCAGAGCTGGGCACCCTCCCTCCGGCGGGGGAGGGGCGCGCGTCGGCGGGAGGGGGTGGGCTGGGCAATGGGGGCCCTTGGCTGCCCCGCCCTCGGTGCCGCGGGCGGCCAATGGACGGCAGCGCCCGTTTGCTGTCCAATCAGCACACTGATTGATGAGAGCCTCAGCCTGACGCCATTTTGGCGGGAGAAACAAGCGTGCGGGAACAGTAGGCGGGGGCAGTAGCGCTGGGAAACTGGAACTTTGATTGTATAACCCCATCAGTCATCTTTTAGTTGGGTGCGGTGGCACTCGCCTGTAATTCCAAAACTCGGGAGGCTGCGGCAGGAGGGTCGCTGCGAATTCGTGGCCTGCCTGAGCAACATAGTGAGCTCGAGGCAAGCCAGCGATAGGAGACACTGTAAACAACAAAAAGTCATTTTTTTAAACAAATCTAGCCCCCAAGGTACGGAGTTTATGAACGATTTACACAAATTAAGGATCAGGCGTAGAATGGTCAGTGAGGTAGCTCAGCAGTTGAACAGGTTCGACCCGCGACACTGTTTATGCCGTCTGTAATCCCAGCGCTGGGGAGGCTGAAAACAGCATCACTAGGAGTCTGTGCTGCCTAGTGAGAGACCCTGTACCAAACACATTAAAAAAAAAAAAAAAAAAACTTTTATAGAAAGACAACCTATAAAATATCCCAACCATGAAATACCAGAAATTGTATTATATATTCCAACAATCCAGAGAGAAGTGCTGTGTGCTGCTAATGCAGTGTATTTTTCTTCACACGTCTTTTAATTGAGCCTGGCCTGTTAATAATCCAATGAAGAAATAAACATTTAAAAGTAACAAATGCTTTCAGCCCCCGGTTCTGCCAAAAAATAAAAAAATAAAGAATAACAAGTACTGGGGCTGGTGAGATGACTCAGTGGTCTAAAGCACCTATTTAGAACAAGCTTAGCAAAGCACAGGGACCGCGGTTCAATCCCCCAGCACCACATGCCAGCCAGCCCCGCCCCCTGGTGGGCTGAGCTGGCCACACACACACACACACACACACACACAAATAAATAAATAGAATAACAAGTACTGCAGACCTTTAAGAACAGGCATATTTCAGGTGATTGGGGCTGAAACCCAATGTTATCACTTCTTAAAATTTTTATTATCGGGCTGGCGAGACAGCTCAGCAGACTAAGCCTGCTAAACGCAGGCACCGGAGTTCGATGCCTGGCACCACACGCTGCTCTAGAGGCCCGTCCCCGGGCACGGTGGCACACACCTGTAATCCAGCACTGGGGAAGCTGAAAACAGGATTACTACGTGTGTGAGCTGCATAGTGAGACCCTGTAGCAAATACATTTAAAAATAATTATATTTGTGATTCTTTAGATAAGTTCATCCTGGGAACCAGTATATATTCATATTGGCCTTTGACTCACTTCCGGTCTGTCTCCCTTACTCAATGCTGAAAGCACTTATATCCTAGAGAGGGCTTCTGAGGCAAAGAACTAGCTTCTGAAAACACATTCTCAGGCCCACAAACTCAGGTCTACACATGACCCTCTCCTCTGGTCCCAGATACCCTTAGTGTTTTTATTTCATTTCAACCAGTGGGAAAAACCAGGCTGCTAGTCTAGTCACATCTCTTTTTCTCTTAACAAGAACCAATAAATTAGTAACAACTCCAAAAAGCTGAAAAGGTGGTACACAAAGGTAAGTCAAATATAATGAAAACAAAACAAGACCCTTTCTTAGGTCTTGTCAATTTTACTTTCCAGTGGATTCTTTTTATAATGGTACTTACAAAAGATCTTACTTTTGACCAACTTTTTAAGTGGTTTTTTGAAAAGCTGAACAAATGAAAATCATTCAGAGGTCAAAATTTTATTACACATAGTCATATTACTTTTTATCAAATAAATTTATTTGCATGTAAATAAAGTTTCTGTAATGTTTCAGGGAAAAAAATCCCACAGGTTTTGTCCACGTTCAAAAAATGAAAAATCCCAAAGTATTTACAGAACGGCCATACACACATAAAATCAAATTTGAGACTTTTAGAAAAAAGACCCTCTCCACTGCTCCTGATGTACATTTTGAAACTCAAAATTTAAAATTCAGATCTTGTAGCTGAGCATGTTTCCCAACTTAGCCTCTGAGATTATTAAGTATTCCCTGCCCTCAAAATACTAACACAAGGATAGAAGTAAATGGGCAGGAAGCAGGGATGGAAATGAAGAAAGTGAGACTGCCCAGGGATTGTGAGTAATGTTTCCCATACTGACATCTGCTTTAAGTGACTCACTGTGGATACTGTATGACTCATGGGCACCCTGGAAGGGTTTCTTGTAAAAATTCATATTGCTGTACTAAATTTTCAGATACCCAGATCCGAGGAAGAAAAATTCTTTTGAAGAATCACCAACCTCAAGCCTGGTTTTGGCAACTATTTCCTACTTGTTCCCCCCACCAAACAACACTTGTTTTAAGACACACTGAATTTGAACCTGAAACCTTCATGTACATCAGAGCAGATTTTGACCAAAAACCCCTAACACGAAGCCAAAAGACAAGAGGAATCAGGTCAAACTAAAAATACATAAGACACCAGCAGCAGCAGATAGGTAGAAGTTGACCTCACATCTTTGCCGTCTTTTGAAACAGGAGAATGAGTACAATTAGACAGAAGGGAGGTGTCCCAGGCTTGGTTATTCTGCCTCTTCTCCTCCACCCTGTGAAGAAATGCAGTGCTCCCTGGTTCTCAGGCAGGGTGAAGCAGTTTAGCCCCGGCTCCCTGTTAAGCAAGTTCAGATGCTGGGTCAGAGTGTGGGGTGTGCCCATCGACAATTCAGGGGCTTATCCTTCATCCAGATCCTAACTCAGGATTCTTTGATCTGGGATGAAGACAGAAAAAGAGAAAAAGCTTCCCAGTTTACTCATTTTGGTATTTGCTGGCTCTGCTTGGGGGAGCTGAGCCCGATACTGTGCAGTACATCCCCCACTTGACTTCCCCACCCAAAACAAACTTTAAAACTATGTAACTTTAAAAATTTCTTGCAGAAACCAATGGGAAAGGACTCAAAACTACTTAACAAACTTGTGAGAAATCCAACCTGTCTGTATGTCTGAGAGGCTGCTAACTGTATCAGCACCACAAGATAAAGCACTCTGGTGTCACCTTGCCCATGTCCTCCTCAGTGTCACCCAAGACATTTGACTCTGATATGGTAACTGATAACTTTTCTTGCTCCACTTTGCAATGTTTCTCTTCCTACTCCTTATTATCATGCGACTCAAAAGTGGCGGAGTTTTTGAGAGCTGATGACCAGAAAAGGGAGAACACTTAGAGGATGAGACAGGAAAGAAAGCCTAAGCAGATATTCCAACCCGATACTAACTCCAACCTGCAGAGAGAGCCGAATATAGAAATCTTCCATATCTGATGAAGTCACTCCACTTATGACACACACACACATCAATCACCTGGTGGTGGTTTTTTGTTTTGTAATCCAGAAGAGTTGTGCTGGGGACTCTGCCCCGCTCCACTGATAAGATCCTGAATGGAATCATCAGGAATGGCACAGTGCAGGTGTCAAAATCTAAGGCCGCAGAATTTTGAGAGGACCCTCCAAACACTGAGAACTTCTGTTGCACTCAAACAGTCTCCTGGATTTCTGTATTTGTGAGAAAGGCTTCTCATTGATGTCTTGCAGAATCCAGACTCAGACCTGTTTCTCCAAAAAGGTCCAATTGTGTTGCTACATAGTAGCAAGGGTTTATCTTCATGCTCACCTAGCATTCCAGGCCCCCATTACTTCAAGTGAGCTTGAAATTGTTTTAAGTGAACTATGGCTGCATTTTTTTTTTTTTTTTTTTAACTACTTTATCCCAGGGAGCATACAGTGGAGTGATGAAAGTCTGAACTCCTCCTTTTGATGAAGAGAAACAAAGAGCTCAGCTCTTAGGAATGGCATCAGTTCTCCGGAGAACTAAAAGCTGGGATGTGGACTTTTGGCACATTGTGGAATTCGGAGAACTGTGAATTCTGTAATGGTTTTCATGCCACTGGATCAGGAAGGCTGTCCCCTATTACATCTTACTGCATCTGAAAACATGTTTACATCCCAAATAGCCACCCTAGCTTTTTTAAAAGGAAAAAAAGTGTAAATCAGTACCTCCACAGGGAAGTAACTGCTAATATTCCTGTCTGAAACCTATGAAAAACTTCATAAAATAAAGTATCAGTTTGGTTTTTCTATTTCACTCCAAGGGTGGGCTCTAGCATGCCTGGGCTTGATGCCACATCA